CGAGTCTTCTGCGTTACACATAACATTTATTGTCACGGTTCACATAGCGACAACCAATTAATACGAGTAATTCAGCTGCAGCTTCTTAATTAGCGTTACTGTGAAGCTGAAACGTAAAGCTACCTGAACAGGAGATTGGAGTAACGTCAATTAATCCGAGCTCGCTTCGTCGTCGTAAAAAATAAATAAAGTGTTTCCTGAACTGAACAAATTATACGAACGATCCACTTCAAGACAGATTACTTTGCTTTAAAAAAAGTGTCTGTTCCTGAGATGTATGAAGGATTTGCTTCCACTGTAGCTGATTTAGAGCAATTTATTTAGCCAATTTTAATTGGCTTCTTTCTTCTAATAGTTGGATTAATCATTGGGACAAATTCAATTAAATTTCTAATGAGACGTAGTGGTTTTAACATGTAAACAATAACTTCCCTGGGTATAGACTTAATTATTTGGTTTTCTTTAATATCTCGATTGCATTGCACCCTTCGAACAAAATGCAAGAGCTAATATTTGTCTTAAATGAAATTTTTTTACTAAGATATCGTCGTTCCAGTTTTTTTATCGTCATTGACAATAATTGTAATTGACAATTGAAACTTTGGAATGATGGTAACATTTGTCTAGACCTTGCATCTTTACGACTTTAGAAATCAACTTCATCTTGCAAAATTCGATTTTGTTAATTTTTGCGCATTTGATAAGATCATGACTTGTTTACGCAAACAAAAAAAACTTAGTTTTCAGCATGTTTTGATTTTTTTTAGTTCAATGGACAGATTTTGGAGAGCGTTAAAAGCTTGTAAATTAAAAAAAAAATTTCTGCGTCGACTGTACTGGTGATTCATCTTTAATTTTTGCGAAACGACTGATCATTGAACCTTTAGTGGCTGGAAAATGATAGATTTGAATTAATATTTACTTGACGTGTGATAAACTGAAATATAAAATTTATATTGCAATTGCAGTCATTCTAAAATATTATTTATGTATAATGTGACGATTTAACTATCTTCCCTCTATAGGCCAGGTGAACTAGCTTTACTGAAGAAAGATTTTACATTATTATACAGGGTGTCCTAGTGTCAGCGTACAAAAATTTGCCAGGGGGTAGACAAGACCAAAATAAGATTAAAATTATTGTAAAATATTTTTCTGCGATGCAGTCTCACTGAGTTACAGGGTGTTGTTTAGATAAAAATAATAATAACTTTCCACAATAACTCCAAAACCCTTTCAGAGATTTAAGTAATTTTTACGTGGAGCGTACATCTATTAAAGGTCATTAATACTACATGGTGCTTATTTCGATCTGACGCCAGGGGCGGCCTAGGCCAACTTGTCCTCAAGGTTATGTCTTCATAACTTTTGCATATCCTAGTTTTATGTAATTTGATTAAGTTTTCCTGGATCCGCAATCGATTCTGAACAAAAAATGTGCTCTTGTTTCATGGCTCAAAAATGAACCGTTTTCGAGTAAATTGGGCCTAAAGTATCGCCTGCATTAATTCGTAGAAACATGCATGTAAAGATTTTATTTGTTGTTATCTAGTAGGTTACCTGTCATTATAAAAAACAAAGTTGTTTACACGCGTATATGTCAAAATTAATTACGTTACTCGAATCTACGAGAAACTAAGTTTACAAAACAAGATATTAAGTATTACCAAATTTTCCAACAACGAATTTGCCGATATGATATTTGTCTACGGTTTCTGCCATGGAAATTCATTGGTGGCCTCATGAGAGTATCTATGCAGGTTTTTCAAACATAAGGCAACCTTCACAGTTTTCCAAAGAGTCCGTGAGACCGGGAGTGTTAAAATTGGAAATACCAGAGTAAGAGGTAATTTAGAAGATGCAAGCATTTTAGAAGAAAATGTAATAGCTGCTGTTGTTGATAATCCACCAGTGTCCGAAAAATATCAACGCAAGTAGGTATTCCACGAAACAGCGTCTGGAGAATTTTAAACCGAGAAGAACTGCACCCATACCACCTACATAAAGTACCAACTTTGCATCCTGGTGATTCCGAAAAGAGGATACAATTTTGCAGGTGATCGATGGAAATTTTCGTCATTATCGATATTGTGGGGCGATGAAACTATCTTTACGAGAAATGCCATAAATAATTTAAAAAATTTTCATGTTTGATCCATTGAAAATCCGCATGTGATATGACCACCCGCGTTTCAAACAAAATTCTCCGTAAATGTCTGGGGAGGAATCTTCAACAGAGTCATTGTGCCTCCTCGAATTATTGTAGACCGTTTGAATTCAGAGAAATGCACCGAATTTATAGAAAATATTGTTGATGACGTACTTGATGACATTCCCTTAGCTTTCCGAAATGAAATGTACTACCAACAAGAAAGAACACCTACTCGTAACGGAAGACAGGTACATGCGTGGCTCGATATACATTGTCCAGAACGCTGGATTGGGAAAAATGGACCTATTATGTGGCCTCTCTGGTTCCCTGACCCCAACCCGTTTGATTTTTTTGCTGGGGTCATATGAAGCAACTGATGTATGTCAAACCCAGTAACACGAGAGACGATTTTTTACTGTCGAGCAAATTCAAGCAACCGTTGATTTACAATTCCTTGGTCAAACGATGTCGGGTATGCATTGAAGTAAATGGACAGCATTTTGAACAGTTATTATTGAAATAATTGTTTTCTATTTTTATTTTTAATATTGTCATTTTGCTATCATAATTTTCTTTCTGTTACATAATTTTCAATTTTATTTTTAGTTCCCCTATACATAACCAAATATTAAATAATTCATAGAAAACTTGTTTAGTTTCTTCATATTCATTGAGCCGCAGCTACATGGGAAACAGTACCTTAACGGTAAACAACTTTGTTATTTATAATGACAGGTACCTACTAGATAAATAGAAATAAAATCTTTACATGCATTTTTCTACGAACTAATGCATTCGATACTTTAGACCTAATTTACTCGAAAACGGTTCATTTTTATGCTATAAAACAAGAGCCCATTTTTTGTTCAGAATCGATTGTAGATTGAGAAAACGTAATCAAATTACATAAAACTAGGATATGCCAAACGTTGGATGTGGGGTAATTTGACACATATGTATTTACTCTAGCGAGTCTATATAGCTTAGCAATATATTCTAATCCGTGGAATCATTATTTTAAATTTAGGGCCAGTTGAGTGGGTGGTACCTAGATTTATTGCTTTCGTTGCAATTAATTTAGAATACCTATACGGCGAACCTGATTCCTCCGGAAGTTCTTATTTACTTGTAATTACAAGTGGATTCCCTCAATTTCTCAGTTAGGTAGTAGTTTCGAAACTACGGCCTTGCAGAATTGTTACAAAAATTAAGTGAACTCAAGGGAGCTTATTATTTTAATTGTATTACGTTCATATTCATATAGTTTTTTACATTTGATACAAAATGTAATTTTTACTAAGTTAGGTAAACTGGGCTTACAAATACAGGTTATCCAAATATTCCATGTATATGTATAGAACTGCCACATAATTAAGGTTATATTATATTATACAGGGTATACCATAAGTGATGGTACATGGAGCAACTGCGGATTCTACGAGTTAACCAAACTTACCTTAATCCAAAAGTTAATACTTAAAAAGAGGCAACGAATTCAAATCCGATTTTTTTGTTCGAAATAAAATACAGTTGCGTCAAAATTATGTTTTATTTAGCGACGGCACCTCCCAATATCCCGCTACTGGTTGATTTTAAATTCAGTAAATTATTAAGCCAAGCCCCATCTATTTACATCAAATACAGGGATATTTGAATAAATAGAAGTAAATTTTGTTGTCGGCAATTCGTGATGCACTGTTTACAAATAGAAAGGATGGGCGACAATGGCAATAAATGAAGTATTTTTTAAATTTGAAGAAAAAACATTCAATTTCATCTATATGTGGTCGAAGTATTCGATGTTAAAGGCTACTATAAATGTCTATAAAAATATAGATATTGGAAAATATAACAAGCTTACTGGTTATTTGAAGAGTGAATCGGGAGGATACAAAGCAAAGAAAGCTGCAGTATTGGAAAGAGCACATATTGAAGAATTTTTTACTGGGGCTTCGGATCAAGAATAATTAATGATTAAGGTATTATCTCTTTATCTTTTACATGTTGTTAGGCATATAGTGACGTACAGGACGTTGGTAGTTACCAACTTGTTTCAATACCTGACCCCAAGACGGGCATTTCAAGAAAATTTACAATTATAGAAGGATTTTGCATGAATGCTGTTGAAATATGCAGAAAATATATTTCTCTGCCCCCAATTCGCCTAACGCAAGACAGATTCTTTCTAAGATACATCAATCAAAAATGTACTTCTCAGCCTATTGGAATCAACACATTGGAGAAGATACCCTTAGTAGTTGCTTCATTTCTGATGAATATCGCAAATCCAGAAGCATATACTGACGCACTTATTCGATATTCTTCCACAGCAGCATTAGCATTCCCATTACAAAAACCGTAAACAAATACCGTATTTGCATACTCAAAATTTGAATAAGTCTAGGCATTTCGTAACACTTGATCAAACGTGTAATCAATTATTAAACCATTGCAACATAAAATGACACTGACAAATATCCTACTTTTGAACTTGGATCATGACATACTTTATTTCAAATTTTTAAAATTTGTGACTGCCTTATAATTTGAAAACAAATGAAAGTCGTATAACAACATTTGAGTTTTCTTATTATTCTTATTATGTGGAATCCATTTCTGGAGTTTGGTTCAATTCCCCGACTCACCCTGTATAAACATAGTTTACATTTTTTAATTATTCAAGAAAAAATTGCGTTTTATTGCTGTTAAACTGTATTAGATTTTTTTTATATACAGTTGTTGCTATTTTAGCATGTCTCTGATTTATATTCAAACCTTCCTAAACCGGCATATTTCGAAAAATCGATTTCAGTATATTTCGGTGCTCATAATTTCCGAAAGCACTTACCCAAGTCCGTGTCCATCTCTTTCTCGGCTATAACGTACCAAATGCAGGCCAACCAATGGGCCACGAGGGTGAAGCACAGCATGAGGAGGGTCAGGATCATGGCGCTGTATTGAGAATATCTGTCCATTTTTTGGAGGAGCCTCGCCAGCCTTAACAGTCTTGTCAGTTTTATAAGGTGGGTGTGGGAGCTTGGCAGCGTACCGGAACCCTATAAAAGAAAAGAATTACCTATTTAGAAGCTATGAAGGGTAACAGAGATCGCTTCGAGCATTGCTGCATTTTACTACAGAACTATAAAAAAGCAGTTTTGTTAATTTAAACAGTAACTTTAAATGAGAGGTTAGTTTTTTTAGGGGTAATCGTCAAGGGCGTAGCCACCAGCCAATGGGCTAGGAGGGCAAGATAAGAGAGAGAGAGGATGGGAGAAATATAAATTATATGTACCAATAGGTACAGTGAATAATTTTTTTTTAGAAATGTTTTTAATAAAACCATTTTATTACAAGAAAAACATAAGAAAAAATATGAATAACTAAAAAAATTAAGAAATTTAACAAAAATTGTAAAATATATAAAATTGGTGCGTTTTTAAAATCGCTTTATAGTCCAATCAATAGGTAGAAGAGCTTACAAAAAATACCACCTGAAAACAAAAAATATGGTGATATAAGAAAAAAATATAGCATACACGGCGAAGTTAACCTAAAAAATTCATAAAAGTCATAAAAACGGTTTTTCGCTAATAAAAAAAACTCCAATCGAAGATAACTAAAAAAATTAAGAAATTTAACGAAAATTATAAAATATATAAAATTGGTGCGTTTTTAAAATCGCTTTATAGTCCAATCAATAGGTAGAAGACCTTACAAAAAATACCACCTGAAAACAAGAAATATGGTGATATAGGAAAAAAATATAGCATACACGGCGAAGTTAACCTAAAAAATTCATAAAAGTCAAAAAAACGGTTTTTCGCTAATAAAAAAAACTCCAATCGAAGATAACTAAAAAAATTAAGAAATTTAACGAAAATTATAAAATTTATAAAATTGGTGCGTTTTTAAAATCGCTTTATAGTCCAATCAATAGGTAGAAGAGCTTACAAAAAATACCACCTGAAAACAAAAAAATATGGTGATATACCTAGGAAAAATATAGCATAAAAAATTCATAAAAGTAAAAAAAACGGTTTTTCGCTAATAAAAAAAACTCCAATCGAAGAAAGTTAAATAAGAAAGTTATAGCTATTAAAAAAACTTATCGATTCGTATTTTTAAATATATCGATTGTTTTATTACTTTTCTAGATACATCGAAAAAACCGACAAATATCGACTTTTTTGTTTTTGCTGTATTTCTTGCAAAGTAAGGTTTTGAAACTTGTTATTTGCTGTAAATATAGCCCCTGGCAAGCAAAAGAGTGCCTTTTTTAAATAAAAAAAAAAAATTAAAAATGTCATCTCGAAATTCGGCTCTACTTGCTCGACGAATAGTCGTAGAGAAACGAATCAGGGCTCATTTTTGTCCTTAAGAGTTCTACTTTCATGATAAAAAAGAGTGATAACGATTTTATTCATTTGAAGTGTCCAAAAATGACTGAAAAAAGTAAAAATTTTTTGGTTGCGTTTTTCTTGAATATCTTTTTCGATTTTCATTTCCCGATTACATGAATTGATTGCTGGCATTTTTACGCGAATTTAAAACAACAGACTTTAAATTTTATAATTCCGCCCAACGCTTTGAAAAATGTTTACATTTTAAAATTTAAATTATGTTTAGTTGTTTACTTATTACATAGTTGATTAAATGTTCAAACTGATGACCGCCCGCTTCCATACAAGAATAAGGATTTTTTTCGAAACGTTCGCGCACATTCCGAAGCATTTCCGGAGTGATTCGACGGCATTCTTCGACAATTTTTTGACGCAAATCTTCCAGTGGCGCTGGCTGTGTTTTATAGATTTTACTTTTTAGGTATCCCCACAAAAAGAAATCAAGGGGTAATAAATCCGGTTAATCGTGGAAGCCACTCAATGCTGCCTCTTCTCTCAATCCAATTCCGTAGAAAACGTTGGTCCAAATACTGACGGACAATTAACGCATAATGCGGATGAGCACCATCCTATTGAAAGTTGAAGTGATCTTCATCATACTCTGGAATATTTTCAATAATTTCAGTCAAGGCCAGTCAAATTACCAGGTAGAAAAAAAGGACCCACCAGCCGGTCACCGAAAATTCCAGCCCATACATTTAATTTTTCCGGTTAAACAGATGTTAAAAAGGAACTGTGGATCGTTCCCTGCTCGTTCACTCATTATTTCGCAAAATTACAAACGGCAGTCATAATCATCCTCATGAAGTTCCTGGACTAAATGTATTTTCTATGGATGGAATTTATTCTTCATCAAAATTGTTTGTATGCTAGTTCGATTGATCCCAGACACAGATGCCAGCTGCCTCGTACTTAATGTAGGATCAAGATGAACTTGTCCCAAAACTGCAACTTCACTAGCTTCATTAACTATAGGTTTTTCAATTTCTCGTTTTTTATTGACGTTCCCTGTCGCTTGAATTTTTTTTACTAACTCTAGAACATTCTTCCTCCTGGCTTGTTGATCTTAATGTTGTTCATTAAATAGCTGAGATGTTCTATTCGCACAATTATTTTTCATAAATTAAAGCGAAATGATATCTACCCTTTCCGCAATGGAATAAACATAGTGTTTAATTTTCAAAAACACAATTAAATAAACTACCAACCAACGCTACCAAATAATACTAGAAAATAATTTAGAATCCATTAATTTTACGTTCATTGTGTGTGTGTATAGCATTCATTTCTGTTTTTTACAATTGTGTTTTTTTACGAAAGTGATAACAAATCGCCAAAAATCAATGTAACGCAAGAAATACTAAATTTATACCAATTGGCGTACTTAACTCGAATGACTGACATTTTTACCGTTACTAATTGTTTGTACATAAGTTTCAACTTTAAACTCAAAATTCTTAATAAGTATTGGGTGGAAAATATAAAATTTAAAGTCTGTTGTAAAGAGAATTGTAAGAACTTTCAAAAGAAATATTACTCAACCCCCAATGTCATTTAAATATTTTGGGGTGATGCTTACCCTTACTTGGGGGTGAAAGTGGCATAGTCAAAAATACAAGCAAATAATGTCCCCCTTTAATCTAAAATCGACGGGTCTGAGCGTTTTTCTACAATCTTGACGCAGTTCCTAAATATGGCTCTGTTTCGTTTTCATTTGGCCACCCTGTATATTAAGTTTAAGATCCATAGTTCATGTAAATCGATTTAAAAAAAATTTTTACATGTAAGCTCTTCATTTGATTTTACCAACCGTGAATTTAAACCAAAATATAAATATATTTGGTAAAAAAAATAATATTTTCACCAGACCTTTTAAAAACTCAACAACAGTGTTTCTAAACTTTGTTTACTTATGCAACATTTACCGAGTACCCTAGTTTACTTAATTCGTTAACATGCATAACCCCAGGCCTCTACTTCATTACGATAATTGAAATTTGCATTTTAATGACTTTGTTCCTCAGTTAATTCGAAATGCCGCCGCGTTTACATCCAGATAAAACTTTTTTAAAGCTATTATTGCGGTAATATTTCGCGTACAAGTACGGCATTAATTAATTCCCACGAAATAAACAATTGTGGAGCTGGAAAAAGTTTTTTAATTACTCACCTGCGCCCCGTACAAAGCATACAGCAAATCAAACGGCAATGCGGCGAGCAAGTCCACTATGAACCAAGTTCTCAAGTAGTTGATAGAGATCGCTCTCCACTCGGATACGACCTCTCCCTTCCGGTTCACGTATGTCGTACGAAAATTTAATATTATATCTGAAACAGACAGATACAGTTCGTTGAGTTTATATAAGAACTAGCAACCCGCCCCGGCTTAGCACGGGCAAATATACGAGTAAAATAGCCTATGTTACTACGAGGAGATGTAGCTTTCGGTAAAATTGGTTGAGTAGTTTTTGAGTTAAATCGTAACAAACAAAAAATCAATCATCTTTCATCTAATGCGACCCTAATATTAATTTTAAAATAATTCACGATATACCTAAAGACAACAAACGAACTCAAAACTAAAAATGCAAAACCTTTAAATTTAAAACAATATAGGTAACTACCAACAATGTGAAAACAAAACGAATTAAATTAAAGTAAGTACCTATGTTCAGGACTATCAATTTTAATTAATAAGTAGTTAGGTATCTAACTACCTAAAGAAAACAAACACGAAACAAAAATGCGACTATGAAGTTTTAAATGATTCACAATAAGAAAACAACAAACAAATTATTAAAACTCAATTAAATAAAAGTATGTTTGCAAGTATCTATGTATGTTCCGACTACCTAAAGACAACAAATACAAAACAAAAATGTGACCTTAAAATATCGAACGCAATTATAACTTTCCAACAACACCCAGAAAAAAAAACACAGTCGTCAGTCGTCACCTCCATTCGCTCCAAGTCGGTTTATTAAAGGATCACGCGCGCGTTATCGTTCGGCTTATTAGCTAAACAGTAGGCAAGACGGTGCGGGGGGAGGGTCGACGATCGCATCAAGCGAAGCGAGGCGATGGAATTTTATTCTCGCGTCCGTAATTTTTTTGCGATTACTTCTATAATATATTCATTTCAATTATATGGTGTAAGAGAGTAAAATAATGTGCATGAAATGCTTAAAGCCTCTAACTTATTTAAAATGATAAGGATTAATACCGTATTTGTGTAAATAGCTTTTACATTACCGCTTTATAATTTCCAATTTTTTAAAGTATTAAAATGGATTAGGTAGTATGTTATCTTTAACATATAGACATATGCCATCGCGGACTTTTTTGTAGGTATATATAAGATACACAATTCCACCATACATTGATACACTACATAAACTTTCGGACCTCCCCGGCTCAGACGCAAGGCGCGGGGTCACGGGGCGCCCGCGTGGTCCGGTCGAATCACGGCGACACGAAATTAATTTTGTTGCGCATTATTTTGATTTTGCTATATCTCCTAAGGTATTCATTTAATTTGCATGGTGTAAAGGGAAAAATAATCTTCATGAAATGCTCAAGCCAACTAACGTATTTAAAATGATAAGGATATTTTTGTAAATAACTTTCCAATTACCGCATTATAATTGCCCATTGTCAAATTCACATAGGTATTCTTTTTACACATTTGTTATGTTTTTTATACTTGAAAAATGTGAATGCATTGAACATACATGATAAATTGTGTAGAATCACACATTGGAGTGTATACAGGGTGTTTCTGAAATAAGTGCGTTCCTTAGAAAGGGTGATAGAGAGCATGAAAATATGATGGTCTAAATGCTTCTGTTTTCAAGAAAATTAATGAAGAAAATTAACCATAAATGTAAACCAACCCTGTGCATCTTGTGCACATGCGTTGTGTGTTGCAGTACTACTTAGCCGGCGTATAAAATGTTTTCTGGTCAAAAACTAGCAGATATTGTGTTAATGTACGAAGAATGTATAATTTAAATGATACTTGTCGTTCGTACGCGGTCCGTTGGCGTTACAGACGACAACCTAACAGTAGAACAGTGACAAAAAAAAATACCATGTGGCGTGTACTACGGAAACCATTATTCCCGTATCATGTATAGTAGTTACGATATCAGTTGGTCCCGCATAGAAACATTTAACTCATAAATTGTACGAAATCAGATTAATTATGTGATTTCCCAATGTGGTGTTACCGCGCGTGTGCTAGTTGTTGAGTAGGCATGCTTAGATTTATTTGTGGCTTAACAATATAGAAGAGTACATCAATAAAATGTTAGAAATAAATACTAAGGCAAGTAAATAATATAACTTTGTGTAAATTATATAAATCTCTCGGTATATCTTCATTTAAATTGAAGAATTTGAGAAACTAATAATAACCATATTGAACTTTGTCTAATCTTTAAACACATACATCCATATTTTAGCTTACTATTTAAGTCCTATTTTACTTATTGTTTAACTTACATTATAAATTGTTTTCAGTTTAATGCTCTTAAGAAATGGCCATTGCTCTCGAAATGATGTTAAGATTCCAACTCAAATGCACCTAAACGCGAGAACTAGGGCAAACTTTTCAACCAGAAGGTCCTCATAATGAAAATCGCAGTAGAACTTTTCCCAGAAAATGCATGAAGAATGTTTCCCTTATATTTAATTATTTCAAATTAGAAGTGAACTTTATGGAAGAAAATGTGTCTCATTTATCTTAGATAGATTCAAGCTTTACACGGTATTCGGGAGTACCAAAGCGTATGTGACAGCTCTTTTTTAAATTTAGAGACGTCACTAAAAAAGATGTGTAAAATGAAATGTCTGCTTTGTCCTATAAATAAGTGGGGAGGTTTTTATAGAGATTGCTTTATATAATTTTTACTGATTTTGTTAACTGTAAGTTTTTCATTATACTATTTTTGTAAGAAACTGTTTAATTAATTGTTTTAAATAATATTCTATATTAATTGGCTTTAAGTATAATTCAGATATTTATATTTCACTCTGCTGGAGAATATGTGTCATTTAGTGCATTAATGAATGTTAAATTTATTTAATGTTATTTTTGGATGAATTCCACAAAAAATGTACAATTTTTTTTTAGAAAAAGGTGTAATTTTTGGGAAAGTTCGAATCATATGTTTACTAAAAATAGCTCCAAGAGCTGTTGTTTATTTATTTATTCTCGCACTTTCTTAGGAGTGTATTAAACCTAGATTACAGGTTTATTTCCCGCATTTGATATCTCACAATCAGTTGTCAACAGCGTATTATAATGCGGATATAGTTCCGATTTCACATAACAGTTTCAGCAATCTCAAACATTCTGTAGCAGACAGCATCACGTTCAATCTCCTCTCATGTCATCTTAGACGGGTTCTGATTTCATCGATAATTAATATTAAGAATTTAAAATATAAAATTTCTTTCACTTAGTAAAAAATAATCAAGATTTCTACATATTGTATTTTGCAAACATTTCCACATTTTGTAATTAGTAAGTAAATTGCCAAAGAAACGTACATATAAGTACAACTTTGAATTAAAACAAACGTTATTCGAAGCTGTCATCAAGCGAATTTATTATTAAGCGAAAACACTATTAAGAAATGATTATAACTTCTTATAGTATATTAATTAATTACAGTACATTAAATTTAACATTTTACAGCTAACAAGTGACTACAAATAATAAATTTGAACATTATGTTGGACATTTTCTAGTTTTTTAAGCAAAATTATCTACTAGATTGACTAATGTATTTATTTTTGTTGTTTTCTCGTTACCTTTGACAAATATGAACAAATAAAAAACATCTACTACAAAGAGATTGACAGTGAAATTGTTACATTTGTTAATTAATTTCGTTGGATTTTTTGCAACTAATTGTTTAATCACTAAACGTTAAATTGATATCATAGACATAGGTTCTAACTGATCGAAAAAGAAAAATTTCAATTTAAGTTAACCTTTACAAATAACAAAGTCAGGCAAAAGCCGCTCGGGAATTCGCTTTTTTGCATTAAATAAAGCTTATTTTTACAGCAATTTAAAAAAGAGCGTTTTTATGAGTTAATTGTTAATTAATTATTGGAGGTATCGGATTGGGATTTTAGATAAAATTAAAGAAAAGGTTAAACTTTTATTTTCAGAAAGTTTTACATTGACAGTTCATTTAATAAATGCTGGTGTAATAAAGGTATGAAAGTCACATATATAAACTTTTACTCTATTCCGATATATTTTTTATATTTCTAAAATAGCTATTTATGATATACGTGTTAAAAGTAAGATTTTATTTTGTGAGTGAAGATGATTAAAAAACGAGCGTAGCGAGTTTTTTAACTTCACGAAGAAAATAAAATCACTTTTAACACGTAAGTATATCATACACTATTTTTTCTACAAAACTGTTAAAAGTGGGCTTTTTAATTGTCATTTTTGACATCAAAAATGACAATTAAAAAGCCCACTTTTAACAGTTTTGTAGAAAAAGAATTTTAAATAAAACACCAATAGCAAAATACTAAATATTCTTACAAAATATATATTTTCTACTGCAAACAAAGAGATATATAGGGTGTTTCAGAAAGACCTCCCGTAAATTCAGGGGGTGATAGTACGACAAAAAAATAAGAATTTTTGTTTGGAGATACAGAGCAATAAAATAAATTTTTTTAAATAGAATTTTTACGAAAATTTCCAAACGCTGCGAAATATTTTTATGAACTTTGGTATTCCGGGGTTTTTAAGGACGCCAAATACGCTGGTCTAATTATTTTTTGGATATTTCATAGAGGGCGCTAGTTTCGCTACAGTCCTATTACATTTTAGGTTCTAATTTTTTTAAGGTTAGATTTTTTACCATTCGGGCTCCAATTTCTAATGTACAATTTTATTTTCTAAAAATACTGTACTCTTGTTAGAACTTCCTAATGTGGACGGTTTTCGAGAAAGAAGGCTTTCAATTGAACTCTTACAATATTAAGGTGTTTAAAATAAGTCACTTTTCTCAAAGTAGGCTTATGTCAAAACTTATTGATGGGTGTCTCATGAACAACGCATACATTCTTAGTAATATTTTAAACTCTAATTAACCTTATATCAACATTTTAGTGATTGATATGACTGTAGTTAGTAATGACTAATTACAGTCACTAAAATTTTGATATAAGGTTAATTAGAGTTTAAAATATTACTGAGAATGTATGCGTTGTTTATGAGACATCCATCAATAAGTTTTGACATAAGCCTACTTTGAGAAAAGTCACTTATTTCTATACCCTAATATTGTAAG